CATAGGTTTAGTTTGTTGACAATTGATTTTCTACATTTGACCTTGAACTGACCTTAAACCAGAGCTAATCGTGTCAAACGGACACCGGATTCGGATTCGCTGACCCCAAAAACGTATAGAACATAGGTTTAGTTTGTTGACAATTGATTTTCTACATTTGACCTTGAACTGACCTTAAACCAGAGCTAATCGTGTCAAACGGGCACCAGATTCGGATTCGCTGACCCCAAAAACGTATGGATCATAGGTTTAGTTTGTTGACAATTGATTTTCTATATTTGACCTTGAACTGAGCTTAAACCAGAGCTAATCGCGTCAAACGGACACCGAATTTCGGATTCAGCGACCCCCCAAAACCATATGGATACCATGGTCTTGTCTTTCGGACCTGGCACTTTTTTTTGTGGGGCTGTGTTATTACGTTACTATACGTATTTTTATTTAATTATTGTTGTTATTAGGTATGACACTAGTAATTGAATTGCAGAATTACTAGCAGGGTTTTATAACTACGAGATGATGGAAATTTCTGAACAAAATCTTTTGTGAACCTATCATTACTAGCTCTTGAAATTATTATAAAAATTTGATCTCGTAAACAGTTTCTGAACCAAAGTTTGGAGGTATATACTTTTTTGCTTGCTTTTTTAGCTGAGAAATATCCGCTTAAAATTTGTGCACTTTATCGTAGTAAGTATATCAACATCCTGTATATGTTTATTATCTCATAGAACGGTCTTTGGTCAAAAAAGGATGTCTAAATAAATGGCAGTTCTCGAAAAATCGAATCCATTTTTTCTTTTATACCTAGGAAACAGTTTAAAAGTATGTAATGAAAATTGGTAAATTACTAGAAAAGAAATAAAAATATATTAAAATTATTTTACAAAGTGAATTGAAACAAAAAATATATTGAAATATTTTTTATTAAATTATGATTATAATTTCAATTATCTCGCATAAATTTGTATGTCAAATTCGAGTCCATGGTTCTTCGCAGAGTTCATTTCGATTGTAACATTTGTGCTCCCGACTCCTCCTGCTGTGACTTTACATGTTGCTCCTTTTGATTCGTCTTTGTCGTTGAGTACTTTCAGACAGTAGATCCTTTGGCTGCCAGTCCAGGAAGACTGAAAAGAGAGGTTATTTGTAAAAATACTTAATGGCAATATGCGTTAACAAATTATTTTAGCAGTTTGTCATAAGATAAAACAGGTCAAAAATAGTCTATTGTTTAAGGTCTACACTGTGCGCAAGCCATCTTGGTGTCGCTATTCTCAAATAAAAGAGCATTCCTTACTCGTTTAAGAATCTAAATACTCACTTTGGCTTCTCTAGAAACAAGAGGCAACCTCGTCTTATGCACGTGTTCATGGTAGACTTGATCTCTGGCTAGAGCTGAATTACAGTCTCCATCGATGATCTCATACACTCCATCAGCGGCTTTGGCTGCATATAGATAAGCGCAGAAAATAACAAAGATTGAAAATATTGTAAGCTTCATGGTGTGATCAGTTTGAGCTGTGTTAGTACAATACTGTGATTTTCAATGTTGAATACTCAGCTATATATCCAATTCTGTTATCTAACTGTCTGACACATTTTTTTTTAAATCTTGAGTGTTTATCGATTGATTGATTATTGTTTGTTGATGATTGTTCCAGAAATCAATTAGTAATACTTGTATTAAATAATAGCTAATAACATTTAAACATGTTGAACTGATTCAGTTTAAGTTTCACCGAAACATGAAATTGATTTTAATATTTTTACCGACACGTGAACCATTATTTTTTAAGTGTAACTGGAAGGTAAGATATAGGCTGAGTTGTTTATAATACTTCACCGTTATTTTAATTGAATTTTAACTTCATGGTTTCATAAGAACTTCATTTTCAGTTTATTATCACAAATCCTGGAAAAATTCAATCCCATAATTACAATTTTCTTTTAAATGTAAAAAATATTTTTTTTATATACGGCTGTCTACTATAGATCTCGCTTAATACTCGACGCACGTCAAAAATTTGAGGCCTTTATGCTCGTAAAAACAAATTTGAGATCTACGGCCAACTTTATGAGTAATCATAAAAAAATCAGAAAAGTACCGAATGTTTAGGGTCGTCTAAATTTTTTATTTTAAGAAATAGAGAAAAATTACTTTAATAAAATTTGGTGTAAACAAATTTTTGAAGTATTGCTGCATCCTCTACGCGAGTAAAAAAAAATGTTATCAAAGAAGGCTATGGCCACACGAAATTGCTTGTTTTTCCATCTTTCATGCGATATACTACATGCTGCGAATAGAACTTGGTTTGATCGAACTGTAATTCGTAATTCGTGATATCACGGAGAAGCATAAATGCTGTAAAAGTATAAAATACATAAAGAGGTAACATTCCTTTATAAATTTAAACGCAGGCAAAAAATATAATTAATCCTGCTTTACTGCATATATACTTTCATTTAATTAAATTAAAATCGAATTTATAACATGAGCCATCCAATTTCTGGAATTAATTTCAAATTGATGAAAGATAGTGAAGCCGCATTAATTTTTTTTACTAAATTATTTCTAGTAGTATAGTAGTGCTTTAAATAATACCCCACATTTCAAATCTGAATATTAACCTTTGAATATATGTCTTACTATTTTCTAAAAGTAATAATAATAAAGTCTAAACATATTAATAGTGCAGCTCTTCAGCACAAAAGACTTTATGTCTTATCCTCAAAGGCTGCACAATGTCCCATAAGGTGGACAGGGGTGTCCTAACCTTCTCCACATTTCGGGCATAGAAGGTCCTCCTCAATTCCTATTAAACTTAAATGCCTCCTAAGTTTGCAGTGACCTGTCAGAACACCCACCATTTGGTTTAGGGCTCTTCAACTAAGGCTCAGCAGCCATCTCGTCTTAGGTTTGTCAGGCCCATGTATAAAACTATGGACCTGTCTACATCCTCTAATTCTCCTCCAATTCTGACCTAAAGTTTGATAGGCCCATTTATTAAGGGCCCCATTAATGCTATCTCGAGTGATTCCTAAAATTGGTTCAGGTCCCCTAGATCCGAGACGAGCTAGTTGATCAGCCCTCTCGTTACCAGGGATACCCATGTGGCCTGGGACCCAAACCAACTCTACCTCTCTTAGTCTGGACAATGACTCTAGGGCGTCTTCACATTCCTGGACGAGGGCAGACCTTGTCCTCGGGGACCTAACCGCTCTGAGCGCGGCATGACTGCCGGAGCAGATAAAAAATCTTCTCCTCTACACAGTTCCTTACCTCCTCCTTGCTTGCTACCATCAAAATAGCAAAAACCTCGGCCTGGAAGACTGTGGCATACGTACCCAGTGAAAAGCTTTCCTGGATACCGCTGCCTAGTGAGTAGGTACTTAACAGAATATTGCAGTTTTAAGTCTGTGAAACTAAAAGCTTTCTCTGGATTCCCTCAAGGATAAATTTTAGGATCGTTATTAATGCATTTATAAATGATACACCTTGTTATTTAAATGCAGATTGTTGAAGATTTTCTGCAAAATATCTAATATTATTGATTATTACTTCAGGAAAACTAAAGAGGAAGAAAAAGATATAATAACATTCGTAATTAGTGTAGGATGAACAATTTGTAGTAAATTACTTAAAGTGTTTTATTATCCTTGTTTAAATTACCTACATGTGGGGATAATACACTGAAAAACTGTATTTTGAAACAATCTGTTCCGGTTAATGTTTTCCGAAATCTAGGATTAATGTAATTTTTCTTTGTACTATTATAAGAAAGCAAATGGCTTCTACTGCAATCGTATGATATAATAGAATAAATCACGCACGGTTCTTAAGCTAAAATTAGTACTCATTTCAGTAATTAACTAAGAATTTTTTAATCTTGCATAGTATCATACAGAAATTGTAACAAAAATTGCTGATTAAAAAGTTTTTAGATAATTACTGAAGTTAGTTCTGATTTTAGCACAGTGTCATACGACCTTTATACAAGTTCACTGTCATTTTATTATTGAAAAAACAGTCGTGTTATAAAGTAAAACAAATAAATTTCATTTTCTGTAATCGTTGACGTCATCTTAAAATATTATTGTGAAAAATTTTAGTTTGATTATTTATACAGGGTATCTCGAAATAAAACAACTATACTGCAGATGGAATAGGTATACTGTAATGAGTAAAAAATGTCTGCCTAATATAGGTCCTAAAATGATGAAAATGGAGTTACAGCCGTTAAATGAAAAATATAAATGAAAAAGAAAAAATTATAATTAATGAAAAACTTATATAAACAAAAGATAAAGTTAATTATTTGTATTAATTGCTAATGCAGGTGTTTAGAATTATGCTGTTGTATTAAATGTGTCGAAAGTAGTGTTTTTAATTAAGGGGGATTCATTCGTCAGCCTGAAGATTATAATCTAAAACACAATGATTCTCCAAAANTTAACACACGATGTGGTTACCATTTGCTGCTTTTTTTATATAACGGAAATATAATGTATAATTCCCTATAAGAATATACGAGACGACATAAAAATGTCACATTCGTTCTTTTTATTACGCCAACAGTCGATGGTTGTTCAATTTAAGTACCTGCTTATGTTAATTGAAATTTATGTCATTATAGTTAACCTACTTCAGAGACTGGAGAGAGCAACGTTTACATAAGCTCTAGCAAAATTGGACAAAATTTTCACCTGTTCTTGAGCTTATAAATGACATGTATTGATTAATAGTTATTAGTTAATAGCCACGGCATGGCTGGTATTTAATAGACGAGGCGCAGCCGAGTCTACTAAAGTAGCCAAGGCAATCTATTTTACAGCCAAGTTAAACACATAATTTTTTTCCCGATCAGTTTTAATTTTATCAGAATAGCAAACAAACCTATTTATTTTATATTATTAATATTGTATGTTACTTTTTTCATGAATAATAATAATTTCATCAGATCGTCTGTGATTACTGTAAGACGAGCGTTATTTAAGTAAAAACCTAGGTACACAGTAATAGCCATATTGTTCCTATTTAAATCGATAAAAAGAATTATTTATTATTTGAGATGGAAGAATTCACATTAACTCTGTTAGGATTATGGGTAGATGTATGTTACTTTTTTCATGAATAATAATAATTTCATCAGATCGTCTGTGATTACTGTAAGACGAGCGTTATTTAAGTAAAAACCTAGGTACACAGTAATAGCCATATTGTTCCTATTTAAATCGATAAAAACAATTATTTATTATTTGAGATGGAAGAATTCACATTAACTCTGTTGGGATTATGGGTAGAACTAAAACACTTTAATAATTAAAAGATATTGTTTATTCACTTATTCAGAGAGCACATGTATTCGGTATCAAATCAAATTAGAAACTAAAAGTCTTTCCCAAGCCCAGTACTACAATATACCTCCGTATGTTTATAAGCATTTTTAATTTATGGGCAAAGGGCTCTTGAACCTTCAGCTGATAAATATATAAACATATTAAAAGTAGGCAGTATCTAAGGATGGGAATGTTTTTGTATACGTAACTTGAGTAACTTTCAACAAACTCCGCCAGAAATTATTGAATCAGCAAAGCAAATAGAGTATAATTTATTACTACAAAAATGGAAGATGTCTCAGCAAACATATAAAAAATTGATTACCGGGCTGAGAATAACTTTATGCCTTTTTCAGAAAATGTACTATTGATATGTTTTCTGAATTAAGCAAAAGTACCTATATGAAACCTTCTTCATTATGGTCGATATATGCGATGGTCAGAGCTGCTACAACAACATCGATATTGGAAAGTATCTAAAATTAAAAGCATTCTTGAAACGGATGGGCATCATGCAAAAAAACCACGCGTTGGTATGGAGGCGCCAGATGATTCGTAAAATTATCTTAATAAAATTAAAGTTTTGTTGAAAATATTACCACAGTAACAATTGATTAAACCAACTTACAGGTTTTTTATGGTTCAGAAAAGTTTCATCAATTCATTAAAATCAGAATAAGTCTAATAACATTACTTCCACAAAAATTGACATCGTCAAACCAACGTCAGTCTACAATACTAACTTCTGTGTGTCTCAAATTACTTCAATTTGTCTTCATCATTTTCCATTTTATTATCTTCGATAGTTTTCAAATGAACGGATTCCATTTTCTTCTTACAGGAACACCGCCAGTAGCAAACAAATATTCGCTAATAGTATAAGGTACAGAAATGCTGTGACCCAAAAATAGACCGGCCACAAAGCATTGTAAATAACAGTGCGAGAAGAGTGCAACCGACGAAAGGAAATACCTTTTTTCAAATTGTTGTAAACTTTTTCTTTAGTTACGACGGACATGGTCACAGTTTTATCACAGACAATATAGCTTATCGCCACAAACTGCGTATTAAATACTGGAAATTGGCAATCCGAAAAAGATGCAGGCTTTTGTCAGCCGGCATCCAGCAATAAAATTTAGCGTGGTAACTCCTCTACTCGGTAATAGACGGCAGTTCTAGCGGTGGCTTTGTTGCCAAATAATCACTGCAAATAAATTTAATGCATTCAATTATGTAATTAAAGAGATATGGAACTTATCTTTTGTTTGGAAATCACATTTGTGTTAAATGCTAAATAAAATAAATCAAGTTAGAATTAAAACTACGTATCACCCTGGAATGAGAGAATTCAAACACTTGAAATTAATATTTTTATATTTGTGCGTCGACTTCAAATTTGGTACGATATTAACATCCGTGTTTAAAAAAATTGCATTATACAGGTTGTGTATCCTTAGATGGGTACTACTCTCTTATTGTTGATTTCTTTAGATAGGTAACATAATTATTGACACAATGTTGCATATCATGGATGCCATTGGTAGTGCTCATATTTGTGACACAAAGTGTTCGAAAAATTAACACAATATAAAATTGCTGGATCCTCAAGGAGTAGTTGAATACGAAATTTATTTAAAAAAACAACAAATCATCAATCAATGATCCCTTAAGAGAGATCAAATAATGCGTTCGCTACTACTGCACACCTCTTGTTTCCAAAATTTATTTTCGACATACAGACTTCGGACCTTTTGCATTCAACACAGAAGGGACAAACAGAACCAGGGATGAGGTGATTTTTTAAATTATTTTACCTACGACCACTATTGTAAATACTTAAAAACACGCCGTCTGCGATCAATGTAAGATTCCTATTACGTACGGTAAAAAAATCGCACAGTTTTCCTAGCAACCGCCTAGCAACGGTCAATACAATACTGTTTGTATTGACCGTTGCTAGGCGGTTGCTAGGAAAACTGTACGATTTTTTTACCAAACTGTGCGATTTTTTTACCGTACGACGTAATAGGAATCTTGCATTGATCGCAGACGGTATGCTTTTAAGCATTTAAAGTAGTGGTCGTAGGTAAAGTATAGTACGTAATACGTGGTGTAATGCAATTACGCACTCATAGAATTACGCACACGCCGCTACGCGGCGTCGTGCGTAACTTTTCCATTCGTGCGTAAGATGCTTTTTACAACACTTATTACGTAATATACTATTTTCGATTCAACGCACCGCTTCCGAATTATACAAACTTTTTATTATATGACGTCACACACCTCTTGTTTCCAAAATTTATTTTCCACATATGTGCCTCGGACCTTTTGCATTCAACGCAGAACCGGACAATCAGAACCAAGGGTGTAGTGGAGATTTTTTCAATTATTTTTTCGATTAAATCAATTTCCCAGTTATAAGATCTTTTTTACTGTATCATCTCACACACCTCTTGTTTCCGAAATTTATTTTCAACATAAGGATTTCGGACTTTTTGCATTCAACGCTGAAGGAACAATCAGGACCAGTGGTGTCGAGAGATTTTTTCAATTATTTTTTCGATTCAGCGCACCGTTTCCGAGTTATAAACACTTTTTTATTCTATGATGGCACACACCGTTGGTCTCAATTTTTTTTTAGACATGCGGACTTCGGATGTTTTTCACTCGATCTTTTCGATCTTTTGATATTTTTTTCTCATTTGTTGTGAAGTCATAGTTCGATGACGTAAGCTAAAAAGGCCACGCGCTCTACCCCACGCTCCCTCTCTACTATCGAAATAAATGAAATAGACCCCTAAGTTTGGAAACCGATGTTATAAAAACGTAGGGGTTTTTGGACCATATACATATAGCCTCACTATTACTCTATTGTGTGCTAAAATTTCAGTTAGTTTCTTTATTCCATTTTTTAGTTATTAATGAAAATGTTGAAAAAATCACGGTTTTCTGCCTACAAAATTGATATCTCTCACTTTAACTCGGCGTATTTTTTTTGTTAATTGATAAAAAATTCAAAATTTTACTGACGGTACTAGAACCACTTTTGTTTTTAATTTATGTAAATGATTTTATATATTCCATGTTGCCAAAGACCTGGATTCCCTTTGCTGATGATACCACTATGCTTAATACAAATGTCACTTTAGAATCCTTGGTGGACTCTTGTCTCAATAAGATGGTAATAAATAGGTGCCTGGAAAACAAAACATAATATATAAGATAATTTGTAACTTATATCTTAGGCAGTTGACGATGTATACCATACAATTTCTAGCATCTACAAAACTCAACATAGATGTTTCAAAACACGATTCGACTTTTGTATTCAATATTTAAGATATATTTAACAATACAATACACAATCCAGCATGAACAGCGCATAGCTATGAAATATATATTCGTATATTCCTCTTTATTATCATTACATACAGCTTGCAATATTGCAACTAGTTCGGTTCAAGAGAACTGTTTCTAAACTTCTACATACAGGGTGATTCAGAACTCATCAAAAAAGAAAAATCAGGGAACTCTTACAAATACAATTTTGTAAACAAAAAATTTAAAAGGGTATAGTTCAATTCAAAAATGCACTTCTGCACGACACTGGAAACTGGTCCACTGTAAAACCTGACATTGCTCAAGGCAAAGCATGCAGTTGGCGACCGGCATGGCGGCAACACTAACACAGTAACACTTCGTATACAAACAAGAAAATTATCCAACTTTCCAATATCGATGTAAACATTTATTGATGGTTTTTATTTTTCAATTGTACAACATTAAAATTTGCAAATGCATACTTTCTATTGTTTTAAGTACCTACCCTTGTTCAAATAATGCGCGGGAAAGGTTACAGTGATTTAGCAGATTTTAATCAATTTCACATATTTCGGAAACATACATATTCTTTTTAAAAACACATTGTATTTTATTTTATATATAATAGGTACCTATATTATGGAATATACCATTTTTACAACGTAAATTTACGCAATTTAGGTATAAATATATTTTAAAATCAATTTACACTAAATATTATGAAAGAAAAGAAATTACCCAAGTAATTCAGTAAAAAAAATACGTAATTATTATGTCCCTCATTTTTTTTCTGTGTAGCTTCCTTCGGAAACAATTTGGGATCCATATTTACAGCAAAAATATAATCTTGTTTTTAGTAGTAGTATATGCTGGTAAATTATTGCATACTAATTTTGAGAAACGCTGTATATTACTGTAAATCACATCCTATTATGTTGTAATGATATGAAGTTTGAGGTTTATCTCTAATGATAAGAGAGATAATATGGTCAAAAGGGTATTTCTCCAATATCTAACGTCTTTGACGTTTGACCTTTCATTTCCACAATGGCTGTACAGGCTGTCCCAGAAATATTTTTAACTCACCGAAAGCAGCAATATTTGTCTAATAACATTTTTTGAAAACTTCACAATTTTTACATAATTTTTTAAATTTAAAATTTTTGTTACTCGTCACCGGAAGAACGAAAATGATAAAACTTTAATATTAACTTTACAATAAGCAATGAACATATTTTTACGAAATTTGGTAGTCAAATTTTAGATGAAAAATTCGCTAATGATTTACTAAAAATAATTTGAAATTTTAATTCAATTGTCTTTAAAAAAACTAATTAAATCGGTTAATAAATACCTTATTCTACAAGTGTTTCTATTTATCATAGGTCACACCTTATAAACAAAATAGCTACAACTATTAAGTAGTTTTTATAAATTAAATTAGATTTTTTGTAAAAAAAAATTATTGAAGTTATGGTACATTTAACCACTATATAGCTGGACAACTGTAGTCTCTAGCATCATTCGCAATACGCGTGGAGAGCCACGTGGCCTCAGCGACTCCGAATACTGAAATCCGATTTTGCAATTGTCGTTGCAATAGTGTTTACCTGTTATCTATGGTGTTTACAATAGTTTTTTAGTAGTTAGTGTCAAAAATGGTTTGCGTGTATAGCAACTCGGAGTTGATAGATGTCGTTTTAATTTATGGTGAAGCAAGACAACATTTGTATTATGGTGAAGCATTTGTGTTATGGTGAAGCAAGACAACATTTGTGTTAGTTCGTAGAAACTGAGTAAGATAGATCCAAATGTGTTTACACGTTCGTGGACAAAATTTTGAATAATTGTTGTAACATCGGGTATGTCAAATGATTTTATTATTTAAAAACACAAATTAATTTTATTAATTAATAAATGCAAAAGCAGTTGAATTTGCCAATATAAAATAGGTGCTATAAAATTTTATTTATTTATTTCATTGCGAAAGTTTTTGTCCGTTTTTATCACACCGCCATGCCGGTCGCATTGTGCGAGGTCAGGTTTTACAATGGACCAGTTTCCAGTGCTGTGCAGAAATGTATTTTTAAATCATTTTCGAACTGCCCTTTTTGATTTTTTTCTTTACAAAATTGTATTTATAAGGGTCCCCTGCACATCCAGAATTTTTTTTTGGATAAGTTCTGAATCACCCTGTATTTATATTATAGTTATACAGTTGAAAAAATGCTTGCTCTAAAACTCATACCGTTTGTGTAAACTTTCATTTTACAAATACATGTCATAATATTACAATTATTTTTTAAGAAAAAAATGACCTGTATAAGATTGTCGTATCGTATTTATCATTAATGCTACTTATTACGATGATAAATAGTTTATCAATGGTTCCATATTCATTAGTGAAGTAATAATATACTGACCAACATGTGGGGCTCAGTAATTTTAATAATTTGCGTTTTTTTAATGACGACCCAGGTACGTAAAAAGATTTCAATTAATTGTTAATCTAGTTTAAAAGATTGCTAAATGCTTTTTCAGTTAACAGAACACCAGTAAATTGAATTTTTTTACTTGAAAGAAATAAAATAATTTTAATCAATATCAGCATAGATCTTTTGTATACCTGAGATTTTGACTGATAGAGTAGAAATCTCGTAATTATGCTGCACATTCTTAATTTAGTTAAATATATGCATTATCATAAAAAAGAGACATTTTTGCCTTTACTACGTTTTTCTTATTTTGCATCATTTTAACAACCTGTAGGTATTGCTCTGAATGAGATTTATTATTCTTTAGTCACAGAGATGCTGAATATTTTGATAGAATATCTACATATCAAAACTTATATAAATATATTTCAAGTAAGTACCGTTGTAAGTACTCATTTGTATAATTTTTTAATATGGTATTTGTTAATAATTTTGAAACGCATTTTATGATTATGTACTGAACTTGACCTTTTATTTCAATTGACATCTAATAAGTGCGTTCGAAAATGTACATACTAGTATTATGTGACCTCTTTGATTTAAATTTATCTCAATCGAGACAAAAATGTGTAATGAATTACAAATTATGTCGCTACAAAAAAAATTTCGAGGTCATATGTTTAATTTATTCTTTTGCCTAAATCTATATAAAAATACATAATTATTACATATTTATTTTCTGTTCCTAAATAATAATAATAATAATAATAATAATAATAATAATAATAATAATAATAGGAA